GGTAGCTAATATAAGAATATTTATTAATGTTCACCTATTTCTTGTTTAATACAATATATGACAGTGGCTAAAAAAAGGACTAGATCATGACTTTTTGAACACGACCATTAAAATGACCATTTCAAATACTATTCATGCATCAAAGCAATTATGCAATGCATGTTAATGAGTCATAATTCAAATTCTGTATTAAATAGTATACAAAGAAAAATATCAGACTACTCATCATTCTAAATCACTTTATTTATATTCATATTTTAAATTATTGTGGCTCAATCAATGAAATTACTTTTTAAAGTAAATCAAATCTTTATGATTTAAGAAAACACATTCTCTAAAACGAAGCATGTGAATTTTGAAACAGCATAATCTTCCTCATTTTAAAGGTCATTTTCATACAAGAAATCTGCTGGATAATGCATATTTTAACTGAATGACAATGATTTTATTGCTCAAACATTGTTTACTAACTTTATTTAGCTCATCTCCAATTTGACAGGAATTGAGATGAAGAACAGGAAACTCTTCTTCTTTCACTTTTTGGATGATGTCATAAACTAAATGATAATCTTCTTCAGTAACAGCGGAAAGGTTGACATGATGGGGAATAATGTCCTGACTAATATTTCCCATTTTTAAAAATTTTATGATCATTTCTGAATTTCTGAAAAATAGAACAATGTATGAATGAGCACTTAAAAGTTCTTTGGTGTATATTTCCTATACAATTATGCTATCAAAAGCTAATGAATGTGGAAAGTTCCCAACACAAAGAAATGATAAATGTTTGAGGTGACAGATATCCCAGTTACACAGATTTGATCAGTACATATTGTGTGCTTGTATTATGCTATCACACATACCCCATAAATATGTACAACTATTACGTATCCATCAAAAGTTTTAAAAATTAAAAAGTTCTTTAAAAACTAAAATAAGGGAAAAAAGTTAATGGAAATTAATATCCATACTGTGCAATGCATTTCTCATTTATGACATTTGCTTTGAATCCCAGAACTGCAAACACCACCAATGTTGCCAGTACAGAAGTGAAAAAATTGATGAAGGACACCAAGACAGCATCAAAGTGGCAGTTGTTGTCTCTTTTGTTGTAGCTTGAAAAGGCAATGACGCCACCAAATCCCAGACCTAAGGCAAAGAACACCTGAGTAGCAGCTTCTCTCCAAACCTTGGGCTCCAGCATTATTTCAAGCTGTTTAAAAATAAACACAATTGAAATCAGTTAAAAAATAATATTTCAGAATGATTCATTTATATAGAATTAATCCTATTGTTTAAATATATTAC